AATAAGTATCTATAAAACGTTTAAAAAGCTAAATACATTAAAATAAAGTGTAATAAGACATAAAAAGGTTGAAAATCTAKTAAAATTTACGGAGCTCATAGAAATCATGCAGCCGTGTCCAGCGCATACACTATCTGACGTGAGTAAACTTCGGCTAAGCAATAGATGCAAACTAATCTTTAAGTGTACAGTGCTGAGGCCAAAATCACATTTAAGAAAAAATATGGTGAGATCCAATGCCATTAAAAGTATAGATCCATGAAATTATTATGAATAGATTAAGTGCATTGATGATGCCACAATTACAATTTCTAAGAAACAATCTTAAAGAAAAAATAAATTCATATTGCTTTCCTTTCTTACAATGACTGCTATTTCATTTGTTAGGCTGGCTCATCAAGCCCTTCAGAGTCAAATGATACATGGTCAAGTGATGAGGCAGATGAGGTAAAAAAAAACTGATGTGTTATAAGGCTATATTTTTTGGCTTCTCATCATCATTTCATTTGATGTAGATATCATATATACACACACAATAAATCAAATGTCTTTGAATAGTTTTTACTGTAATGACATAGAAATGTGAACATGTCATGAGATTAATACTTTCCTCTAATGGTGTCTATTCTTTGCAGGAAACTGAACTAACGTCAGTGCTTTCTGCTCTTGAGAGCAATGAAAACATAAAAGAGGCACTGAATTCCGAAGACGAAAAGCTGCCAACCTTGGCTCAAATAACAAAAATGTCAGAAAAGAGTTCTGAAGTCATTTTCAGTGCCATCAAAGGACGACAGAGAGCGAGTCAAATGACTTTGACCCCAATGTTTACTATGATGGACACAGTCCAGAGTGTCAGTAGACATATGGCAGATTTATCAACATTGCAGCTAAGTGCCCTTCCTCAGTCCTGTAACCCTGGGATGGTTTTGGAAGCAGCAAGGCAAATCTCCCACTGGTCGTCCGTATTTGTTATTTCGTTTTTTGTAACTGATGACATGACAAATCCATCAACAACATCTACTTTAATGGGATCAGCCACTTCCCCATACGATTATTATAAGAATGATAAATAAGCTTGATATAGACTAAAATTATATAATTTACTTTTAACTACTGTAACAAGTAAACAATCAACTCAACAACTGTAAATTCAGTAAAAGTATTTGTATGCAATCTTCAAATTCAGTAACTTGTGGTTTGTTTATCTTGTAATTTATCTCAAACCCATATTATAAGAACCTGCTTGATAATGTTTGGCTAGAGAGGTTCTTATTTAAGGGGTTATTGGAATGGCAAATTTCTGCCATGAGGTTCTTAATCCATTAGGTTCTTATTTTTGGATGTTTACTGTACTACAAACTACAGAGCTTTTAAAGTCCTTGGAATTTGCCGGTTAGATTTTTTAAGGAATTTGTGGGTTGCTTTTCCCTATTTCCAGGAGGTGAAATCTAGAGACTGTTAATAGGCATAGCTATTTTATTTTGTTCTAATTACTAAACTGTGAAAAGCAGAACAAATTTGCAAATTTTGAAAATAGTTTGAGATGTCGCAATCTATGGTAGGGCGTGAACTCGCGCTTATCTGAATAAGAATCATTACAAGAAAACAACGATAAATATCGATTTGACATTGAGTTTAAGGGCGTAGGTATCATTGGCGATATAAAGGGTTCCCCGTAATTTCGGGGAAAGTAAGTTTGGGGAAAGTATCGCCCCAAAATGAATACATATCTTATCTCCCCTTGTCCCTTGCAGTGGACCATGGGAATTAGAAGTTAACTTCATTCTCTTATTCTGACCTTTAAATATTCTGAAAGATTTTTTTATATTAAAGCTTTAAGGACTTAACATACTTTATTCAAGTCTTTATTCAGTGCAGATGATGTCTTTTAGTTTATGTGAAAAGTTTTGAAAAATGTGAAAAAGCAGAAAATGTTATTCCGGATCGATCGCGGCGCGGGTAAAAGTATATAATAGCGTAACCTGGACACGGTATGTTCCACGAAGTGGTTCTTGTTTGTTATTTAATGCATTATTGAATTCTTCATTTTATTTTTCGTTTTCAAACTTCAGTTGATTACTGCAAAATTAAAATCAATTATCAAGCATGTTTATAAGCGAAGTACAAAGAAGGCTTTATGAAAATCCTATTAATAATCCAATCAAATTTCGAAGTTTGAATTCAAATTTGATTTCAATAACGTAATGTTGAATCGACAAATAATCGAATAATGAATTGAAATAATGGTGTTTTGATGGGGCGCGCTTATATGTCTTTTGACTGTAAAGTTACAAATTTCTATTCTGAAAGTGAAACTTGGAGCATCGTCGTAATCCACCAGCATCAGTAGTTCCTACCCGATTATTGGATCGATCCCACCTATGGATTATGAACCAACCGGGTTTAACAAATTTTTCGTGATAGCAAATCTATTTAATGCCTGTACCATAGTTTGCGACATTGCAAAATATGACACCATATTCTGCGTCATCGCGATTTGTGGAAGTGTGCATTGACTCCGAAGCAATTATTTTAGGAAATTCTATATTACCTCAGTAGATTACCTTTGATTTTTACATCAAGGGTCGATTTCGTTATCCACGGTTCGCGCATGGTTTCCTCGGGGCCCTGTACTCTCACACTCACTACCTCTACATTAAGCATTTTAGCTCAGGGAGGAAATCTGGAGACACGGAGAAAAACCCTAGTGGCAAGGGAGAGAATGACCGCGCACGGCCTTTGGGCGCAACTGAAGGCTAGTTGGATCGAAAATCTAGCTAGTGTTAATTCTAAAGCTATAAGTATCCATCACCGTTCTCACACGGGATAAACAACTTGTAGCTTTGCGATGTTGTCATTCGTTTAGTGAATACAACCAAAAGTATACATAACCAGTTCTGGTTATGTACTTCTGATACAACCTGATTTTGCAGCAAGCTATAAAGATGCACAAAATGGGGCTTTTGACGTGTCCACGAATTCCGCATATACAAGTAGCCCCTTGTGGACCACTCCACTACACTCCTACTTTAAAGGATCGCATTTTTATTTTATTTGTATTTTATGCAACTTTGCACGCAGCCTTGCTGCAGAATACGGTCGGACCCGGCAGATCGTGAAAAACCGGGCCGCGCGCTAGTGATTGGCTAGCGCGCGAATGACTAGGATACCGGACCGAAAAAAAATAAAAGTACTTATCACATTGAATTGATTTGTTATCACGAAATCACTTTGTTAAACCATTTCAATCATTGGTTTATAATTCTATACACATTGGTTCATAGTTAATCCATAGGTTCAATACTACAATAATCAAGTAGGAACAGCTGATGCTGGGAATCACGACGATGCTGTAAACCACATACAAGGAGCTCCTTGCGAACCACTTCATATCCGTATAGCAAATATAGTGAAATACCACCTATACACTGAAAAAAGCAGCACCCACACATAGAACAGAACATGTAAGGGCTAAATTGATAAGGCAAATAATAACTAGCTAAAGAAATTATTTTAAAATTGTTCAAACTCTAAACTGTAAAAAGCAGAACAAATTACAAAATTTGAATATTTGGACCACAACAGTTACAATGTATTGGTAAATAAGGCACACATTAAATGCACATAGTTTTGCTTTGAAACCACGTTCGCAACATCTCAATCTGTATGGGCTATAGCACATGTCTTTGAAACCACAGTTCGCGACATCTCAATCTGTGGTCGGTCTGACAAGACCGTAGTTTGAGATGTCGCAATCTATGGTTTAGGATCTATGGTTATAGGGGTGACCAACTCGAATAAAAAATATTAATTAATTAATTTAGGGATGCAAAAATGAAATGTTTTTCCAGATGCTTTTTCAGAAGTGTTTTAATTTTTGTTCTCTACATATTTCTGTGGCAGACCGTCCCTACCCTTAAGGGACTACAAGTTGAAAAGAACAGACAAACTTTCTAATTAATGTTCAACTCAAGCTGACTTTATTAGGTGGAAAGATTTCTCAGTTTCATTTTATTACACCAAAACGCTTGCATCATTGTTGGATATGTTATAGTTCTATTACGAGTCAGTTTGATCATCCAGTATATAAACCTATTTGTACTTCTACTATTAACAACCTGAACGTTCATACTATTTTTGCAGTGTATCCTGTCAAACATGTGCTCTGCTGTCGTTCTGTTTAGAAAAAGCTACAGAAAATTTTTAAAATAAAAGATAACATATTCCCATTTGTCTAGATTTACTCTATTAGATACAAACTTTATCTTGTGCCATACTTTTTGGTTTTCAAGAAGGTTTTGATATAAACTCACACAAAAAAGATTCTGAACTGCAATGAAAAAGGAAGCAACAGCTTGTCCTATAGGGCCTGGATCCCAACACACTTGATATTAAAGTGTTGCAAGATTTCAATATCACAATCTGCACATGTCTAGCTATTTTCTATAACATCTAGTTTCGAAAGGCAATTAAAGTTGTAGCATAATATCTTCAAAAAATATGACAAATGCAGGAAAACCATGGAACAAAATCAACTAAATACTGACTGACAAATTGCAGATATTTGAAGACAATTTGTCAATATCAATGAACCAGAACACAATGGAGATCAATCCACATGGGACCATGTACATCTTTATTGGGTTCTGGTTAATTGAAACTAAGAAATTGTCTTTAAGTAGCTGCAATTTGTTAGTATTTAGTCTGATTTGATTTTATTGCTTTCCTGCGTTTTTTCTATGAGAGCTTATAAAAGCCCACTTGAATGGTCAAATGCACTTGTATTGTTTCTGCAAAGCCTCCTATTCAAATCTGTTGTGCATGTTTAGTCAGTCAAACTATGAAATGTCTGCTATTAGTATCAATAATAATCTCCTTGAACTGCTCTATTACTTTAATAGAGTCATTAAAGTGCCTATGACATGAAAATTTTTTTCGCTTTTTTCGAAAGTTTATCAAATAATAAAACATATTTTAGCGGAAAAAAATTGGAAAAAAAAATTTTTCATACTATTTTACACCAAAGAAAATGCGACGATTGCTTGGAAATTTGTCCGTACGAGCGCGCGGTCAAAATACCACGTGACCAGGGCTGTGACGTCATGTTGTGTGTTGATCTTTTGGCCCAGATAGAAACAACATGTCGTCGAGTAACACAAGTAAGCGTAAAGGAGGAAGATATTGTGTAGCTGGTGGACCTAATGGCTTAAGCTGCAAAAACAATTCGTATACGGAAAGCATATCTATGCACCAATTTCCAAAAGACCCGAATATTCGAGCTAAATGGCTCAAATTCGTAAAGAGACAYCGGAAAGATTTTGCTGAACCGATCAATCAGTATGCGGCGCTGTGCTCAGCACATTTCGACGAATCTTGCTACACACGAAAATTGTCCATCAGTCTAGAAGGTTTTGAGAATTTCAAGATGAACAGAATTCTTACACGTGGGTCGATTCCAACGAGAGACGCCGTTGTTGTAGCTGAGCCAGCTGAACTCACGCAAAGAGCCAAACGACAAGTAAGTTAGTAAAAAGAAGCCATTGCTATTGCAATGGTACATTCAAGTATGCATTTTCGCTCTTATAAAGTCGATCACTTTCTAAATTAATGCGAATTTGAATTTTGCAGATAAAGAGAGATGTACTTGTAGAGATCCAACAGCCAGCCAAAAAATGCAAATATACTGCAGAACCTGTAAACACAGCTGTTGAACTCCCAGACGAGCAACAAGAAGTCCAACACACATTAGTTCATGATGAGAACATTCGTGTCGAAACAATTCAGTCTGAATCAACAGTTGCACAGTCACCGAAAGCAAAGAAAAGTCAAGTCAGTAAACGATSTTCCTTGTGTGCGGAGAAARTAAAGAAACTAGAAACGGCAAATAGAAGTACTCGGCGTTTGAAGCGAAGAATTCGAGAGCTAAAGCTGAGAGTCAAAGAGCTGGAAAATGTGAGTAGCTAGTATGATTATTGATATTAGTTTTCAATTCAATATTTGTTTAGAAAAGAAAACTGATTCACTGACGTTTTTATAGAGAATCGACACTGAAACTGAGGACGACGGAGAAGATGAAACTGCAGAGGAAAGACAACCTACTGCAGATGAACTCAGTGACCATGACTCTGACAACTACAATGACTTGGATTTCANTCAGGACAGCAGTATTTGTTAGCGCAGCGTAGTCCTCATGGTCCGTAATACACTTTATCTTATCAGCAGATCCGTCGAAGACCATCATCCCTGCAGCTTGATTCACTTCAGTACAGCACCGGTATTCAAGAGCACTAGCCAGTTCTTCAACACTACACTTTTCACAGCGACACCTGAAAGCATTTACCGTCATTAGAGCTAAAACACCTATCAATCTTAGATGTAACTTAATAAACTTACCAATCACTAAGTTGAACCCTTTTTTCAAAACGTTGTTCAAGTGTGCTCGGAGTAAGACCATCATTATCAGCTGGTTCGTCGTCAGCGTCATGTATAGCAGAGTCTTCATCAGAAGCTAATGGCTCGTTCTGATAAGGTTCCATTTCTCCGAACTCCATTTCGTTCTCTGATTCATTGCTAGAGTTGTTTGTTAAACTTTCTGATGACGTATCAGAAGAATCAGACATTTTGTTAAGAGTTTTAGAAGCTTGTTGCACGTGATCAGACTGTAGTCAACAGGTCAAAACAAATTGGTCGTCACAACAGATACGATCGAACACACAACATGACGTCACGCATTCCAAAACTCGGTCCCAGTTCCTCGGACAAAATAGTAATGCGAAATGGCGTTTTGAATGCGAAAATTTAATGATTTCGGTTGGCTTAATGAAAATTCTGATTAGATATTTCGATTCAGCGGCTCAAATACTGCTRGAATCGATCAAMAAAAATTTCATGTCATAGGCACTTTAAGTCTACTTTTTATAACAAAAGCTAAACTTCAAAAGAAAAATAATTCAAGAATTATTTCTAGTCACTTTCTTTACAGTCTGTGGCCTCATTTGCACTTTCTTCACTGTGGCTTTCGCCACTTACATCATCTTCTTGAGAGTTCATGCATTCCTTGAAATTGGCATACAAGGCTTCTGCCTCATCATCATCCATATCATCCATATCTTCAATATCGTCATCTTCCTCCTCACTGGATTCATCAAATTTATCATCTGGTACATCAGGGCAAACTGCTTCTAGAAGAGGGGCCATCAGACTGTAAACATGAAAAATAAATTTTTAAATCTTTTTTACTATATGTGATTCACAGAGCATAGACACTATGATTATAGTCCGAGGGAAGTTGGAAGTTGCCCATACAATTGTTACAAGAAATTTTGCACGCTATAAGAATATACAAATTGCAACAGCATAACAATAAATTCTTACTCGGGTTTGAATCCATCCAAGAGACCAGCTTCACTTAAACAGTTGCTCTCACAGGATCTACAGATCTCTCTGCAGCGCCAGCAACGAGGATGACGCTCACGTACCACGACGCGGTCGGTGGCCTCATGGGGTTAGGGTTAGGCTCCCTTAATGTATACACAAGGGCTTGTGGCACGGCTGGTTCTCCATTCTCCCTAAACAGCTTTTCTTTGTGCATTCTTATTCTACTAGAGATGAAAGTTTTCAGCTCTTTTGTTGGTTCCAGACCGGGTTTCCAGTTTCCAAGTCTGGAGGAATTCCATTCCAATTCTTTTTTGTCCGCGTCCTTTGCACATGACATAATTTGTGCAAAGACAGCACAAATTCCTTCGATCACTGGGTCGCCTCTTAGCTTATGGCTAAGCCGAAGTCCGCTCAATGTTGCAAACTGGAATATGGCAACATCTAAAAGGTCTATAACTGAACGAGAAATTTTGGTTCTTTTCGATGATGAAGCCATTTTCAACAAGCGTTAACACAACAAACTACACGTGTTGATGCGCACTTCACTTGACCAGAATCAAACTGCCCATATCAGCTGGTCAGCGGTAGGGTTCGCTCACGTGCTCTGATTTCTTTTGATTTAGTGAAGCCACTAAGAAGCCACTGTCCTTCGATACGCTTGTGTTTATACACCAGTTTTTTCTGAAAATAATGCCTGCTGGAAAGCTATCATTTTTGCAACCGCTCTACGACATCGCTATTTGGCAATTCTGCATCATAAGTGACTTGAGTCAAGATCGACTGATGAAAGACAACAAGTCAAAGTCGCTTTCAGATGGGAAGCCAGTGTTCTCTTTCGACATGCAAGTCAAGATAGCCAACATTATGTGTAAACTCGTCTCTACACCTACCTTCAGCCACTTGTTAGGGAGGTTTGCAGAAGAAGATATCAAGCAAAGTGTTAGATAAAGCATTTCTTTTCATATCAAAAGATTTACATGTCTGTGATCCATTCTTTCTGTGTGACTTACAAACAGTACAACAAAAATCTTATTCGATTTAGTAGTGCAAAGCATCCGGCCCACGTTAATTTGTTATGGGATACTCTTTAATATAAGTATAAACGTAATAAATTCGTTAAAGTGCATCTCTGTTTGGACAGAACTGTTATCATTTATCTATTTCATAGATTACAATTGTGGGCAATCTTGGATTACATTTGCAGGCGAGATTACAAATGTGGGTAWTCATGGATTACATTTACGGGCGGGATTAAATTTACTGGCGGGATTACATCAGTGGGCGTAACAGTACCCCCCCCCCCCCCCCTCGGATAGTAAGCTTAGGTAGTGTAAACTCAAGATAGTAAGCTTAGGTAGTATAAACTCAAACTCAATTAAGCTTACTTAGATCAATTTTTAGATAATTTATCAAATATTAATAAGTCAAATCACTTCGCCTTCCTTATTATGAAATTACCGGCAATAACATTACCTACCAGCATCTTCCATCGGGTTGCCAGTTGCCTTTAGACATTGAACGCCATCTATTTCAATAACAGCCTCCTTGTATGGACCAGTATGTCCAAAMGTTGACATCCAATGCCTAATTGCAGCCACATGTAGTTTGACARAAGGTGACTTTAAACCGCGGCATCTTAAAGATCCAATTTTCTTACCTTTTCTTTCACTCGTCATTTCTAAAAATATATCGTCAATTCACGTCATTATAATCATCTTTTAAAAAAATTCACCGTTCGATCTATGCATGAGATTTTTGCATAAAGGGCCTGGGAACTACTAACTAAATACGTCAAATACTCCAGAGGAAAGACAGGAAACCCATTATTGATTTGAATAGAAACATCTATTTTAGTTGTTTAGTTGTTACAACTTCCGAGCAGATGTACTTTTACGAAACGCTTTTTTTTGTGTATTACACTTTTAAAAATAGCTTTTAGCTTACTTCAGATGTCACGACTACAAACTATTTTGTCTGAATTCTTATGTACCCTCTTTTTACAGCAAATAATAAACCAAAAACACCTCTATTTTTACTCCAACGAAGGATTAAAGTAAATTTATCTTTTTATCTTTTTAGAAACAGGGTCTTAATGGGGGGGTCGCCTCAGTGTCGCTAGTCAGTTAAAATTATAGGCATTTGTCGGTAGTTGGTTATTTAAAAAAAGTTGATAAACATTAAGTTTAAATGCATCTAAAACGGTGCTTTATACCAACAGAATTCTTTTTAAAATACCAACAATTGAATGCTTGAGTCTTGATTGGTCAATTGGATGCCCCTCAAAGTTTTAGAGGCTCATCACAACTTCAAGAAGCCAATCCGAAGCAAAATTTATTTTTCTGAGGAAAATTTTGAATGTAGTTGCTTGAAAATTAAAAAAAGCTTGTATTCACGGAGCTAACATTTTTTAATATTGGAAAATGTCGCCAGTCAGTAAATTTGTTAATGTCGGTAGTAGTCAGCAAATTTTGTTCAAATTTGTCGCTAGTCAGTAGTTATTTTGTCCATTTGTCGCTAGTCGGTTAACCCCATTCAGACCCTGTAGATACACCGACGCAGCTCACACTTACTAGTTTACGGCTAGTTCCCACCATTTCAAAAAAACGGCTTTCAAATTGTGAAAATATCGTTCCGTCAAATGCGCATCACTACTCTAAAAAACACTCAGACCACATAACGACAGATTCATGCACGTGAATATTAAAGAAATATAAAGTTTTTTTTAACAGAAGGAGGGGTGACGGCGACATGTTTYGGTTGAAAACTATTGCAGTTGGATGACATGACTGAGAATAACTTTCAAATCGTATACAATTTTCTTTTGCTAGTGTTGAAAAAACTCGGACAGTTTATGGAATCCCGCTTTCGGATATGTGGTACTAACAATATAAAGCGGCATGTTGAAATCTATAGAATTCGGCTAATCTTTTGAAATCGCCTTCTTCTGAACTCTTTCGTGGACAATTTCAACCGCATCCAAACCGAACAATTAAACACAATGAACACTCTAGTTGGACCTTTAACTAAATTTTTAGAAAAGCAGTAGATACAGCMAGCTCGATCTTCAGGTGCCCTGAACTTTAATATGTTTACGACAATGGTTTAATACAACTTGAGTATTATGTTTATACACAGTTATCGTTCATGTTACACATCGACGAGTCAGTCGTCCTTGTATTAACTATAACATTATCTTATTTTTTAACACTAATAATAACCATGAACAATAATAATTGATTTCTGATAAAAACATTACGCCCGTGATTACTTAAAATTGAATATTCCGTTAAAAATACTATAAAAATGCAATGTGCTTTAATTGTTATATATTCATAAAGTGTAGATACATTTTGGAATTAAAATAGTTAAGCAATATAGTTTTTGAGAATTTCTCTTATATCGTCACCGTCTCTGAGTACATTTAAAGCTTGGTTAGGAGGGTTTGGGTCATGATCATACTCATCTTCCCAATCATCGCCAAGTAGAATACATATATTGTGAAGGACGGCGCAGGCAATTGTACACTTGATTGCAAATTCTATGCCACTGTCAAAGCGCTTTTGAAGGATTCTCCAGCGACTTTTCAGTTGTCCAAATGCGCATTCTACTTTAACTCTTGCAGAAGATAGCTCTTTGTTGAAGCGAATCTCGTCTCGATCCCTCGTTCCTTCAGGGTAGGGTTTAATCAGCCAAGGGCAGATTGSATAAGCGCTATCTCCAACAAGGTAAGGGCCAATCGTATTTCCATTGATATTGACAGTCGGTTGAGTAAGGATTTGCCTTCCTTCGGCTTTATCAAAAATATTGCTGCGCCGTAATACCCTGCCATCGTGCATCGCTCCAGGATANGGATATTTGCATTGTAGTGCAGCTCAAATCAAGAGTTAATGGGTCGAGGAACTGTCCAAGCGTAGGGAAGTCGACGGCGTAATCTCCTGCGAAGAACCCTTCTCCTTCTCATGTAGTTAGACAAAACCAAAGCAAAAGCATTGTGTGACCAACGTCCGTATAAAAGAACAAAATAAATCGCTTGTTGCAATTGATTTTCGAAACATAGTAAAGAATAAAGGCTGATGACGATGCCGAGTGCTTCGACCGGACGCATTGTTTACGAATTATGGCGCGAAACCCAACGATATAACATGTCTGCGTATTATGCTGTCGTCCGGAAAATGCTAGAAAATGGCGACTCTCGTGTAACTCTCGTGTAACTGTACTGGTGATGGACAACACTTCTGGTAAGCCAGTTGGAATGTCGACGTTTCTCGAGCGCGTATACCCCGATCTCGACCAAACGGATCCAGCGYCGACGCGTTCAGACATGGAGGACCAGCTTGGGAAGTGCAACCGGAAAGTGATGTACGAACTTCAGTACGTTTTGAGAAGTTCTACTATGAAGGGTCGTGGCATTGGTGATGTACTGATAGCATGYGGTCTGGAAGCATTGAGCTCTTTAGTGCATAAGAGGTCAGTTAATGTATGGCTATTGTTAGCCGGTTCTTTTCATAACCATAGTGCCCTTGAGTTGTATACCAAATATAGGTTTACGGTTGTCGGAAGCGCTCCTGGCAAGATACCAGTTTTGTCGTTGTCGAATGTGCCAGAACATGTTGCAAAGGCAAAGATCCAGATGCAAAGGAAGCTTGAGTCGTCTTTTCTTCTGTCACTTCTGAARGAAGGAGGTGTCGACGCTCGAAGCCAGGAAATAAAACCGTTGTCTCCTGAGGAACGCGAGGAGGAGTCAGAGGAATCAGAGGAGGTTTCGCAACTGGAAGATGACGAACACGTCGCAGATAGCGCTTAGCATGGGCGCCAGCCCATGATTCAGTCATTCGACAACGCTGACGAGGTGTCCAGTCAAGAAACCGTGTGTCCCAGTGATTCGTSTAACCCCCAGGCGCACGAGGAAGACGAACCAGCATGCGAACCACCAGCGGACRAGCTAATTGGTTTGCGTTTTAGAAAATACGTTGATCAATTGAAATGGTCAAGCASTCTTGTATTTAGTCTTTCAGGTGAAGCCGAAAGCGCAGGGGACATGCTACAGAACGTGTCTCTAATGGCGAAACGCGTTTCAAATGCGGAGGATTCGTTCTCGTTTCTTCAGCATTTGCAAATGACGAAACAAATCGAGGCATATGCTGYCAGRAAGGGCGAAAACCCTCAATCTCTTGGAAGAGATAAGTGCTGAATTGACGGGTTCAGGGAAYGCTGGTTACTGCGTTAGATACTTGAGAAAAATGGTTCAGTTGTCGTGGTGTGTTCACAGATACTGTTTTTTTKAGCAAGCGATGTTGTCTTGGAGAAGAGGTGAGCATATTTTCCTTGGTGTGGCGATTGAAATTACTTTTCAGGAGGACTTTGTTCGTGGGTCGACACCTCATGATTCTACTATATCTTGCTGTTTTGATTATGTGAACAACAACAGCAACATGAACCACAACAGCAACTTGAACAACAACAACAGCAACAACAACAACAACAAATAGACTGCTTTTTAATTCATCCTTTTTCAATGCATTTTCAGCTCTCAAACTCATTCCACGTTTTGCAAGGCAACTGGACGACATGGTTGACAACGGCAGGGCATTTCCTGAGAACGTCACCGCGGCACAGCGAGATAGATTTAGCGTRTTTGTAAAAATCTCTTTGCTGTTCCCAGAAATWCGTCCAGGAKACGGGGACGGTCTGRGTCATTGTAAGCTTCTTGGGGTTCAYGCTACTCATGTCAACGATGTACCTGTTGATGAAAACGATTTGCCCAATCCTTTTCAATTCCAGGAAGTGAGAAATCGAGAAGGAGAACTTGTACGCTGCCGTYTCGTYGCTTTCGATACCCAAGAGTGTCCAGTAGGTGAACTAGAACTGCCTCGAAGAGTTCCAGTTAGCCAGTATTTCTGGGAGATGGGAAGAAATTTCCTTGMGKCGCAAATGGAGMGTTGGTTGGRAGACGTTCCTGAAAGAGACGCCRTCCTTGTATSCGACTGTTTTGGACTTGACGTCYATGGCAGAYTGCTCGTCGATCTTCGTGGAATTCGGCGCAGAGGAGAAGGGGTCGACGTCCTCCATTCATCTCTGAACAGATTTGAAATGGCTGAGACGTTCCTTAAAAACGGAGTTGCCCATCCAACCTACGAAAGTTATACGACTGAAGACCTTCTCAGAGCGTTTGCGTCAGCACGCGAACGTCGCATGGGAGCATTTGGCGACCCTGAGGGACGTGAATTCGTTCACCCCCGTCCGTATATCGAAGGGCATGTCGCAAGCTCATCACCCAATTGAGAAAACGTAAGTGCCCAGCCTATAGGGAGCGAAAAGTGAAACCCTTTGACCATGACGGTCGTCAGCCACAATTTGTTTACTGATGTAGTGACATTTTTTGTTTTTGTTGGCGTTTATGTTTTGCAGAAAACTAGTCGAGACGAAAAATTATTACTAAGAGAAAATCCTAGTTAAATTCATATGCCAATTACAGGTTAGGTTACTKCSATTATTTTCCATCGTGATTACCTTATGAATCGTACATAAAGTAGATTTCATATCACCTTCAAAGGAAAAAAATAAAASATTTAAAACGGTCGATATAGGACAGTTTTCTTTGCGTGTGGCTGACATTTCGTACGTATCGCAATGATTTGCCACGTGAAATTGTGGAATTCTGGTACGTGCGATTTGGGGACACGTTGATTATTAATTGYTTGAGCTTTGGGGGAACATTAATACGATCATAGTACACTATGATAGGTAGGAGCTCGCCGATGTATCTCGAAATAATAAGCAATAACAATAATAATAACTTTATTTCCAAAAAACAGCCAAAAACAAAAAAACTGCAGTATCTAAGTAGCTTAGTGTTTCGTGTGTTTTATCATCTTTATGGATGAMATTTTGCACTAATAAGTATGCCAACTACATAACAAATTTAGGTTCATTGCATAGATTGAGATATTGACAATAAGTATCGTTACACTTGTAAACTTGTCCATGGACCTCGACTAAATCACAGAAGAAACAACATGCAAGGAAATATACTGAAATATACTAGATAAAGATACTAATTGCAAAAAAAATAAAAAAATAAATATCTAAAGAAGGTTGAAGAATAAGAAACAAAAGTGARCTACCAAGAACGTGCTGCAGGTATATAGTTTCAACTGCAAAAAGATTGGCTGATTCTAAGAAAAAAATGTAAGTATAGCCTTTATGATTGYCGCATTTAAGAACTGCGCTAAATTCAGAATAAGTATAACTAAACGAAAAGTGGGCAGAGTCCGAACTTCAAAACCAAATCACAAATAATACATTCTTTGTAATTTCAGAAATGTTTGAAAAACTCTATTCCCGGTTCAATAAATTGCCCTATGCCATGATTACGTCACACCAAAACATTCTGTTGTTTGGGTTAGGCYGGTATCAAGTCAAAACCAATTTTGCAAAGAATGTTAATAGCTCCCCGCGTCCGCGCAATCCACAGGAAGACCGCATTATAGACATGTTGAAACGTATTCAGACAAATCCAAAAATCATGCCCAGACGTGTTCTAAAACCACAGGTAGCCCGAGCTCTACAATAGGCGCTTTTCGCTGAAATTTGATGACAAATCTAAAAAAATKAGCGAGTTCGAGTCTGACAATATTCTCAACGATGTATGATAACTGATCAATCATTTAAACATCCATGCTATAACTATCATACAAAAAATCTAGAAATTGGAGTTCCTGTGGTTTAAACGAGTCTTCGGCATGACCAGAGGTGTAAACCACCAATTCAAAATRGCGTCTTTATAAACGTTGTCTTTTTTTTCTCCAAAGTGCTTAAGAAWTTGTAAGAAACGGTTGAAAGAGTGGACGTAACGCAGGTGAATTTGATGCGAGACTCGGGTGAGTTGACAATATATCTCAACATGCGAAGTAAGTTACTTATTTCAAGCTTAAATATCAGCATATCGTTATTCTGATTTTGCCTCCCTCGGCCTTCGTATACCTTTACAACTATTGTCAGTCTTATTGGCCGCTCTCAGACTTGAAATGTAGGCCTTTCTCTGGAGATGCCTTTACTGAATGATTGACTGTATTTGAGATGCATGACATGATTGGTTTACAGGCAGTAGTAAAAACCTCTATGCTACCATAAATTATTATTATTTGTTTTGTTTTGTTTTTGATTGATTGTGGAATGTAGACATGGAACAGTGCACTGGCAATGGCGTGGCCCTCRCAAGGCAAAAGCAAGCTCTTTTCCACTTGGACACCTCTTGTCATCTGAAGGTTAGCGAGGAATATATTTCCAGACAGACCTAGACCGTGCTGCTAGGTGCATCTTGGTACTACACTATGCATCATCAATCACATGCTGGTTTTTTGATGCTGGCCGGTTAATTGGTGCTTAAACTGTAGCTGGCTGTTTTTGTTTTTTTTTTATTTTCTTTTTATATTTTTTTATTTTGTTGTTTTGCTTTGCTTTGCTTTGCTTTTTGTTTTTTTTGTTTTGTCTTTTTTTTGGGCTGGATGCCGGGCAGGTAGATTGATGGCCTTGCTGGATGATTGACTGCACTGCATGAAGATTTGAATTTACAGAAAGTAATGTTATAGTAAATGTTAAGGTAAATTTCGAGTTTCAAATTTGACGGGGATTTAATAACAGTAAATTCGGTATTTGGAATTTTTTAGACGAAAATCTCAAGTAAATTTGATATTTAATACTGATTTTCAACTCCCGTAAATTGCTAAAAAATTCTCTAGTAAATCTCAAGTAAATGTATTGTAATTTTGACTGTAAATTTGATATTTAATACTGATTTTCAGCTCCCGTAAATTGCTAGAAAATTCTCTAGTAAATCTCAAGTAAATGTATTGTAATTTTGACTGTAAATTTGATATTTAATACTGATTTTCAGCTCCCGTAAATTGCTAGAAAATTCTCTAGTAAATCTCAAGTAAATGTATNAAAAAGGCTATGACGGTGATGCGGCTGGACTTTATGTCCTCCGAACATTCTGACGACGAAGAAAACACACTCATTGTGTCGAAACTTCCTTGGCGTTCTGAGGAAGTTGACTCACTATTTGAGGCGCTTGATGAAAAGCACTCCCGGAGCCTCTCTCGCAAATCGAGAAGAATGGCTTTGACACGATACGAGGCCAATGATCCCTCAAAGAGAGCAGTGCCAGACAGATTTCCAACATTCGCAGTAAAAAAGGATCACTATAAAGATCGCCCCTTTAAATTTATTAAGAACAAAAAGTAGATCGTAGATCACGAGATGTAAAACTAAATGCATAGCATCAGAGTCTATAACTGAAATAGTGTTAATATGTATACTTGTACTGTAGACATTAAACAAAATTTAAATACACTCAAATTGTATTAATAAATATGGTGTTGCATTGACTTTGGAATGGAGTTCATTATCAATTAAACATCATCGGTGTTCAGTATACCAGTTATCATTACTATAGAATTCGTGTACAATGATTTTCTAACAGTTTACAGGGTTTTTTTTCCATAAATTTCTAACATTTAAAGACTGCTGTAAATGTTGAATTTACTTTTCATTTTCTAGCAGTTTAATGCTATTGTAAATTCCGCATTTAAATAGCATTTTCTATAAGTTTAAGGGTATTGTAAATGCCGCATTTAATTATCATTTTCTATAAGTTTAATGCTATTGTAAATGCCGCATTTAAATAGCGTTTTCTATAAGTTTAAGGGTATTGTAAATGCCGCATTTAAATAGCGTTTTCTATACGTTTAAGGGTATTGTAAATGCCGCATTTAAATAGCATTTTCTATAAGTTTAAGGATATTGTAAATGCCGCATTTAATTAACATTTCCTATAAGTTTACATGTCCTGTAAATTACGCATTTCCTATGAAATTTACTAGGCATTTACCAAAATAGTAAAGTGCGCGTTTACTGAGTTTACTACTATATTAAATCATTAGTAAATTCCAAATTTACAGTGAAAATTAAATCACCTTAAATTCAATTAAATGTAGTGTTTACTGCACATTTACTTTTCATTTTCTTTTCAATTAAATGCGTTCATTGATGCAGTGCTGAGTGTGTAGTGTTGACTGTAGCATGCTAGAATCCYTGCTGAATGCTAGCCATAAATGATTGTTATTGTGACGCTGTTGTTGCCATTTGATGGACGCTGTGCCGGTTACCAAGGAACTTGTTTACAGACACTGGCAAAAACCTGTTCCCCCACCAGGGAGGGAGTGCTTATTTGGCGACTTCGCAAGTCTGTAGTACTTATACAAGGACAGTGTGTGCGGGGGTCACATGCTTTGAGAGGATATTCTGTGCTCATTTTTCTTGATGTCTATGTGGAATGTTTAATATGACATAAAAGGTCAAATTTTGCACACTGCACAGAAAGGAAATGATGATGATAATGATAATGATATGCCAACTAAGATAACTGACATTGATGTTCCTAGATGTACTCAATTTGACTGTGACATTTTTCTTTTGTTCAGATTGGTCTTTTTGGGGAATGCCTTTGCAATGAAAAGCAAGTTTACTTGCAGTTCAGGGCTAGTTCTTCTCATGTAAAGGTTGTCGAGGAATACATTTACAGGCCTGCAGACACTCAGCTTCTCATCTAAAGGTTACCAAAGGAATGTATTTGCAGACAGACCTGTTTATTGGAATGCCTTGGTTAAACGTGAAATGTAGACATGGAACAGTTCACTTGCAATGGCTTGCCCTCGCAGGGCGAACRCAAGCTCTTTTCCACTTGGACACATCTTGTCATCTGAAGGTTACCAAGGAATATATTTCCAGACAGTGGCAAAAACCTGTTCCACCATCAGGGAGGGAGTGTTTATTTGGCTACTTCGCAAGTTTGTAGTACTTATATAAGGACAGTGTTGCGGAGACTACATGTTGCCAATGGAATTTGATTATTACTAAGTGTAATGACGCTATGAACTTGAGTCATATATTTTCTGAAACTGCTCAACTAGGGGAGAATGTCCAGGTCACTTCCTGGTCTGTCTGGCTCTTTGTTTCATTGTAATTCAATAAATCACTTGTAGTCTCCGCAACAGCTATTTCATGAATTTCTATAATAATGTGTTATTTATTCTAATATTCCGAAACATTTTATGATTATTTTTTCAAAAAAGTTAACTTCAACTACATTATTTTAACACCAACAACAGACAGTTTGGTTCAAATTGAAAAACAAATGGGAGAAATCAAAATACTGTGGAATGATCCAAAATTGGCTGGATTGGTAATATATTTCATCTATTTTTGTTGTGTTGTGTAAA